GTGGCAACCAAATGTTGAATGAGTGTTACAGCCCCAAAAACCCACTCAGCTAGCAAACTTCAAGCAATTGTATGTTTTCTTGGTAAATGTAATGGAACTTAAGTTAATGTAAGTAATCCCTCAAAGAGATTAAAACAATCCTGTAAGTACATTATCTCTGCAGGAAGGTTTCCTGTCCTGTGCAGCCAGTCTTGCTTTCAGGCCTCCATTTATAAAATTAGTTGTACACTAATTTAATGTGGTGGCGAGACATAAAATTAATTAAAAAACATAACTAGAAGCTAAAGCCAAACAAATTTTTATTTCAAATGAAGTACAGTTCTTTTTTTTTTTCCTTTTTTTTTTTTTTTTTTTTTTTTACAGCAAGTGTTGTAGTTGACTTCACTCTTAAGAGAAGTCATTGACTGTATATCACATGATGTTTTAGCAAAATGGAAAACCTTTCTGGACGTCAGACTTCAGAGGAATATGGCCAACCAGGATAAATACAGGAAAAACTGTGTCTAGTTTGAGAAAAAAAAGTTTGATTTAATGATGATTTAATGAACTTTTCTGATCTTAAAAGTCCTCAGTTTATGTCTAGAGTGAATTTTGATGAAGCCTTTCCTCAAGAAGACTTGGGAAGCAAAATAAAAGTCACATGAAGTAAGAAAGAGATTCAGATATCTGAGACTGAAAGAATGAAGAAAAATGTGGTCCTGCAGTGGGGGAATCAAGGATTTAAAAACCAAACATATGTAGTTTAGGCCACTTTTCCCTATTATTTGGGAGCCAGAAGAGACTAAGTCACTGCCATTTGTAAGTGGCATTTGTAAATATTGGCACTCTAGGGGAAATTCTTCACTGTTATGGCTTTCTTCAAACCAGACCAGTTATCATCCATCCTACAGCCACAGTGAAATCTAAATACAAAGGCAAAAAAGAAGAATTAAAGATGAAGGAATGCTGCTTTAGAATCATTATTCTTATCCTTAGTTCTCCTTGAGTTTAATCCCATGTCAGGCTTTCCACTATTTTTTAAGGGATGAATGTCAGGCAAAATGGAGTATTGTAATCTGGGTCATTCTGTTTGCCCTTTTTTCATACTGGCACAACGTTGGCAATAGATTCTCATAATTTCCATGACATTCCAGGATTTATTAAACTGAATATCACTGACATGAAGTACCAAGTATTTTCTGATGCTAGGGTGCAAGGCATCCAGAGCTAAGGATTCAATGTTTATTGGAGATAGGTGCTGCCCAAAGACCAGGTCATTTTCTGTGTGCAGTATTTATCTTTCCACTTACAGAACACAGGTATCGTTATTAGTACATTTTGTATCATAATTAAAAATGTTACTATGTCTACTGACAGGTGTATGAGCATTATTAGGAGATGCTTAATCCCTCCCTTACTGTAAAATTATTGGAATTTCATCCATTCCAGATGCGGATTTTTCAGTAATGTTTTTGACTTTTCCAAATAATTTTATGCATTATATAATGTCTATTTCATGTTAATTATCATCAACTGCTCCTTTTTTATTGCTTCCTATATATTCCTTTTTACTGCTTAATGTTTCTCTTTACCTAGCCAATGAACCACAGAGAAATTTCTACTAAAATTTATTGTCTCGATGGTAGATTTCCATTTATCCATCAAATAAACTCTTCTATAAGACACAGTAAATTTTATTGAAATGTTTCTGGCATTTTTGTCCTTTCAAACAATTTTTCTGTTTTCCTCATCCTTGATCATTTAGCTCTTCACTAGATATTATAAACTGTGACTCTCTTTATGTGTATGGAATGTGATCAGGTCATGATTGCAGGGCCCTAGGCAACTGGTGACCCCTGGTCCAATGATTAACTAATCTTTATCACTCATAATGAAGTAATAAGGTAGATATATACCTTGTTTAAATACAGATAGTATTAGAGAATTACAATATACACGATCATATTTTTTTAGACATTTTTGGCCTCAAGCTTCCAAGGACAGGTGGAGAAGTGGACATGGGTGATCCTATTTGCCTACCATACAAAGTCCAACTCAGCTGGCAGGCCATGAGGCAAGTCAATATCCTTACAAATTATCAGCAAGTCATAGCTTCATGAAACATACCGTTGATGTCTGCCAAAGCCAAAATCCTACAAAACCTGGAGCTACTTGTACAGTTTGTGCTTTTCCAGAGAAAACCACTAAGAGTAGCCCTTGGTAAGATGTTTTCTTGTTGTGCCACAATGCACAGTCTTCCACCATATTTGGGGGTCATCTGGGAAAGAGACCCAGCAAAAAGCTATATATGTGTTAGCAGAAGAGTACATGTTGTTTGGATTTTACTGTGCTTTGGTAAGAGAAGGCATGTGAAAAACAGAGAAAATAAGGATGGAAGTAATTAAAGGGCTATGGTACAGTTGTCGTTCCTCTTACACCATGAAACCAAAGGATTAAGGAAACAAAAGTGTGGAGATGGAAAGGGAAACATCAACAAAACAACCATGGGAATAGTGTAGATGTAGAGAATAAAAATCTAGGATCAGTGAAAAGTCAGAAATGGAGGGAAAGGAGAAACAGTGTGTAGCAAATAATTTAGGAGGAAATTGTAAAGGTGTTACGATAGTTGCTCCAGAGCACTCAAAGCAGAAGGGCAGAAGAAGGTGAAAGGAATAGTAAAGAATGACTTCAAGGATGCACTTTGCGAGCCTGGCGTCACGCTATGTTATGTATTATTATTTCACCTCAGAAATCTATAATGAAAACCAACAGCCACGTACATTGCCACAGAAAGTAGGAAGATGATGCTTGAGAGCAACATAAATCACAGGCAGCAATGGAAGAGCTGGGAGCAGTGTCTCTGGAGCAGGAGGATAAAAAGGTTGATCCTGGGTGGGGAGTTGCAAAATGTTTTGAAGAACAAAATTTCGAGGCTGACAGCATTGGGTAGGAGGGAATGGTTTTAATGAGCCTCAAATCTAGGGAAGATGGGTAGAAGAAAAGGAGCTGGGAAAAGGACAAGATGGGTTCACTAGCATGAAATGAGCATGAGCTGAAGGGAAATAGGAAAGGACATAAGTGAGCAGGGACTGTAGAAGGTGTCAACAGGACTCCAAAGGCTAAATAGTGTGCCCTTCCCATCCTGTTTTTCCTTCTTCTTCTAAAAAAATCCCACCACTCAGGATCATACTGTTTTCTGACTTTGAAAAACTAGCCCTACCATACTGGGTGTGGGCTGTTATTGACTACCAATTCCTAGTAACTTTTTCTTTTGCTTTTGAGGAAAAACGAACAAACAAAAAAAGAAAGTAAGCAGCAATTAGGACATCTTTCAGGCCTGGTGGGACAGCTCCTGATGGCTGGGAGCTGCCCACCGTGCACACCCACGGTATGCACACCAAGCTCACACTCAAAGTGCACAAACTCGCAAGGTACCCACGCGTGCTGCGACCGCCCACACAGTGCACACACGCACAAGCACCGTCGATGCCCCCCTTCCATGTGCACACGCACACCCTCGAAAAGACAAAGAGAGGCACATCCGTGTCGTGGCCCCTTCACCCGGCGGCACCTCCCGGCAGCGCTCCCGCCCTGCCGGCAGCCCCAGGCCCGCCGCCCCGACGTGGGGGCTCCGCTCCGGGCGGGCAGCCCCTCTTCTCCCTGCCCTTCCCGAGCGCGGGGCCGGGACGCTGGGATGCTAGGTGGGCACAAAAAAGTTACGTTTTAGTTACGGACCGGGGCAGGGAGGGCGGGTTTAGGCGGCAAGGCTGTTCCCCCGCGCTTTTGTTTAGTACGGGGGAGCGGACCCTTGACGGGGCTGAGCCGGGCGCTCACACCCCGGTTCTCAGCATGTGCCTGTCCCATGGCCCCGCCGTCACCGTAGGGCCACGGGGTTGGGAAGGAGGAGGAGGACTGAGGCGGAAGGTGCCTCTTCAGCCTCACTCTCCCCCTCCAAGGTGAGTTGCAGCACTGCTCCGCGCTTCTTTTGTCTCTGTGCGAGGCCGCAGGGCACCCCCGCCCCGCCCCGCCCTGCCAAACTTTCGGCGGGGACCTCGGCGCCCCGACGGCCGCCCCGGACCCAGGGCCGGGCAGGGTGCGGGGGCAGCTGCGGTTTCCGCCAGGGACGCGCCGGGGCTGCCGGCGACACCCCTGTCGGGAGTCCCCGTGGGGGAGGCCGAAGGGCAGGTGAAGGGGCCGTGGGGCTGACGACGGTCCCCTCCTTCTCTTTTGGTTTCTTTGGGACGGATGCGGTCGGGCCCGTCTTTGCACTTTACGCAACAGGTAGGGATGCCAGGAGCTGGCGGCGGTGGCACGGAGCCGCTGCCAGGAGCTTTCGGGGGCTCTTTTTTGTTACGGTCTCTGGAAAAGGGCGAAGGGGAGGGGGAGGAGAGGCAACAGTCTTCCGAAATTCCCCTTCAGTTGTTTATTTCTGTACTTCCCGTATCCATGAAAAAAGAGTTCGTTTCGCAACTCCCGAGTTTTATATTGTTTTGTATTTACTTTCTTCCCCCTTCTCTTTCTTTTAAAGTTATTTTTCTTTATGTCCTGCGTTTGCCCATCTCATTCCGGGAGATCAAACTGTCCGAAAGCAGATCCCCAGAGGCTTGTCCTCACTGACAGTCGGGGGAATCCAAACAAAGAGGTGCATCTACCGGAAATAATGATTTGAGAGATGGTTCTCTCCCTTTCCAACCCCCACTCCCCCGCCTTGAATTAAATTGTTTTCTTTTTCTGGGAGGTTCAGTTCGAGGGAAGTTTTGCGCTGGAGCCGGGGTCGCGGCTGAGAAGGGATGGAACAGACGGAAAGTTGCGGTGGTGGGAGGAGGCGGGGGGCGAGGGCAGAACGGGACCCCGGCGGCGCCCGGGCCGCGGGGGGAGCAGGGGCGCGGGGGACCTGCCGCCGCTGCCGGCTCTTTGTCTGCTCGGGCAACTTGAACAAAAGGAGAAACTCGGATTAACTCTCCATCTCTCCCTCGCCTCTCCCGGGTTATCTCATCTTCGGCAACTTTATCCGGAGAGATTTACTCAACTTTCTCCGAGCTCTCCCGCCGCTTAAAAGTAAAGAGCCCCGCCGTAGGCTTCGAAGGAAATCTGGTTTCACAGTTTAGAGAAAGGAGAAGGTACGTTTGGACTTGGGGTTTATTGTTCTTTCCCGGCTCCCTCGTCGCTCCCCCCTCCGCCCTGCCGTCCGCGCCCGGGGCTGGGAGCGCAGCGGAGGCGGCTGCGGGCCAGTCCAGCCTTTCCTTTGTACTTTTGGGAGCACATGCAGGTATTTTTGGGGAGCGTGAGGCAGTCACTCTGCCCGAGCTCCGGTAATGAGGGCTGGGGGGCACTACTCGAAGGGGTCTTGTCTCCTTCTTGTGCCTGCTTTGTGTTTTATTTTAGGGGCTTAACTTCTTTTTTTGTGCGGAGGGAAGTGGACTCGGACGGCTTTCTGGGTCGGGCTGTGTTTTCAAGAGTTGAGACAGAGGAAAGCTGAAGACAGTGGAAACTTTTTGGGATTGTAGGAGTCCTGGCGGCCCTGGCCAGGGAGTGGGGGGCCAGTGGTGGCCGTGGGGCTGGGCAGGGCAGCACGCAGCAGGGCCAAAGTGGGGGCTCCGCCGTGTGCCAGCTTGGGTCGGGGGGGTCGGGATACACAGAGAGTCTCACATTTGCTGCTGTGGAACCATCCTAGGGGAACAAGGTGCACAGAAGTGCCGAGGGACAATTTTAGGAGGAGAGGGACTGGAGGGAGGACTTTGTTCTTCCGAATGCGTTGATCATAGCGAAAGGAGAGAATAGAATGGGTCAGTCCAGGCTGTCCCTTGGTCGGCTGGGCTTTCCCTGCACGGTGCAATCTGCTTCATCCCTTTGTAAACGCAAGAGTCGTTTTGGGTCTTGTTCCGTTCCTTTTGGTATTCGCACTTTCTAGAGCAAGCATCGAAACTTCAGAAAACTTACTCATGTGCTCTTTGTACTTTTCTTAATTATCTTGATCGGTGTAATATGTTATTATTTACCCATACTTTTTTCTATGCTATGTAACTACTATAACTTTTTTCTCATTTTTTTTTCATCCCTATTCACTACTTTCTCTTTCCTGTGTTATTTTCTTGTCCCAATTTCTTAGTTGTCACTCTCTCTCCTTAGATCTATCCATGTCAGAATTTCTGAAGCCTCTACTTTTTCCCTTTCTGTTGTCACTCCTTCTCCTCCTTCCTGATCCCTTACCACCTACTCTTCTACCTTTATGCTTGCTTGCATTTCTCATGAAAAACTCCTTTTGCCGAGGTCTCTCCTTTCATGCATGCATAGGTATGCTGAAGTTTCTCCTGATGTGAAGCAAACATAAAGCTTCTTCTTGTTCTCTCTTCTAAACTTATTCTTCTGTGGTCGACCCTACCTATATGTTACTCAGTTGCACAGACAGAGCTTCTAGCAATAGTTCTTCACCAATACTCACCTTCTCCTTTCTTCTTGTCTTTATCTCTGTGTACAGACATCTTCCAGTCTCTAAAAGCTTCTTTTAGTTCCTCTCCCTCGTCTTTGGTGCGGGAAATTTGTTCTTTCTACTTTCCTGCACTCCAGCTTGGCAGATGCGATGATGTTCTTCATGTCATTGTTCCCTCCCATGCAGAGTACTAAAGTTTTTCTCTCCATTCCTCATAGTCCCCTTCCCAACCTAAGCAAAATTTGCTGTTCGTACTTCTGAAGGAATTGCACAGAGGGAGTACCAGAGTAGAAAGACGTGGGTTTGGACTCTTTGGCTTGCTCCCAGATAGGCCAAGTGTCAACAGTAGTTCTCATAGTCCAGGTCTCAACTGAAGTAGCACATCTACTGGTGGAGGTGCTGTGGGGACACTGAGATAGGGCTAAGGAGGGAAAAAAGGTCACCATTAAGTTCTCTCATCCATTGGACCAATATGTTTCCTTCAAAAGTGTTGAGGAGATTTATTTTTGCGACTTGGGGCTTTTTTATTGACTTACTGTTTTCATTAGTTTTGAAACACCTGCAGGGCAGTTGAAGACCCTTTATATTACCTTTCTTTCCTGCCACTTCAGTGCTTTCTGGAATATAAGACTGTGCAATCTGTAGAGATATATGTAAGACTTTTTCTTAAATCTTCTTCTGTTATACTCCATCCTGGTGATGTTTTTATAGCAAAATGCCATCTTCAGGCTTTGAGTTTAGGAGGTGTCTAAATCTGTGAAGAAATATGTGTTTGAAATTATTCCGAAGAATGAAACTTTATATTTGTATGTTAGTCCCCAAGTGGTGTGGCAGTTACTGTTCTGAACTAACACTTCTTCCTCTTATTTGAATAGGTCAAAACATGGTTGTCAGGAAAATGAGATGGTTGCCAGAACATCAGTCTGTGATGGGTGCCATACTGCATTACTCTTTGAATGGTGGAATACATCTTGGGATTCTTCGGGGTGCTTAACGTGGTACAAACTGTACCGTACAGCTGCTTAGCATCTTAAATGTTTGCATTCATACATAATTGTTAATGGTCTCCTGGGGGAAGTGGAAGAGTCTCTCGAAGCTGAAACTTGTGGATATGTAGAAAATGCTGCTGAGACCAGTTGGATTATATCAGAACCTGACATCCAAGTTCTGCAGCTGATGAAAGGTATGCTTCTCCCCTGTTACAAAAGTACTGTGTCTCATACATCAAAATACTAAGTGCGTTGTCTTTGTTTTAAACAAACTTGCCTTGTAAACTTTTTTCTTTTTTTTTGTCTTTGCCTTGCTATTGATACCTACTGATAGTTTGGAGTGGTGTAATCTGACAGAAATGGTTACTAGTGGTTTGACAATGTTTATATCTTAAATGTAAAAGGAAAAACCAAACGTGAAAGTTTTTTTGTTTTCATAGTTAACTTATATTTTCAAGATAATGACTTCACTAGGTCTATGAGTGCTTAGCAGCTCTAGAAAATGAGACTAGTCAACTTTTAAGAAAAACAAATTAAAGACAATTTAAACAAAGCTTTTTCTGCAGTGCCGATCTTCCAAATAGCCAATTTTGTTTGAAGACGTCACTATTTTGAACTCAAGAATGCAACCGTCTATTATTTAACCTCTCTTCATTCAAACAGCAACACAAATCTTATAGATGGCTTGTGTTGGGGAGAGAGAGAGTAAATAAAACTATTTCAGTTAAAAATTCAAGGAATTATTTTGCTTCATAAGTTTTTAAAGTTTTGATTTAAGGCTTCTTGCAGAACCTGTTTGAATCCTGAATGTCCTAGTACTGAGAAAGTCTATTGGATGAAGTTCAGTGCTCTGTTTTCTTCTTATTTTATGAGATAATCAATGTACAAAAATGAAATGGAAACTAGTGGAGAAAACAAGTGGTTAAAGAGTTATTAATGAATAACAACTTATTCTTGAATCTAGATGAAGTGTTAATCCAATAGTGAGGAAATCATTGAGCTCCTTAGTGAATGATGATAACAGCAAAGCAAATTTTAAAAGTATTTAAAATCTGATCATTTTATACCTGTTTTGTGCACTTCATTGTAGCTTAAAATGAATGACATGAAAATAGTCGGGTTTGCTGCGTGTTTCAGCTCAACTGATTGGTTCCAGCCTAAACCGTATGTAGGGCAGACAAGTATTCATAATCTTAAGGAAAGTGCTGAGCTGGCTGGCCTACTTTAGAGCAAAACAGAAATCTGAACTAATAATCACTTGTGATCCTTTCCAATTGTAAACAGAGATACAAGAAGCAATACAGTTCTAATTTCCTGGTTCTGATTGTGTTTTAATAAAGACCTACACTTAATTTTCTCGATTATTGAGGATAAGCTTTCTGTTGCGTACTGAATGCAATTAGTGTACGTTTAGATTTACGTTTGTAATACTGTTCTGCATTTATACTATTTTTGAACTTTGCATGACTTAAGTTAGCCATATGAAAGTCTTCAGTTTGAAGTCTTGGAAATGGAAAGTCTTAGGCTGTTTGTGGAAAGAGAAAACAAAGAGTAATAAATGGATTGTGCTGGATAAAAATACTTAGAGCTGCTATCTAGTGTCATCTTGGAAAAGAAGCCCAGTCATTATGTGTCTGTATTTAAAGGAAATCAAAACTGCAGTCTTTTTTTCTTTCTGTGAAGATTTTCTTCTAGTTCAGCTTCTTTTCAGGCACTTGTCATTCTTTAGGAAAAGCATACTGGACAGAAAGTTACACTTCATTTATCTACATGAAAGCTATTAATTTTCATCAACACTGAAAACTGATGGGAATTTTTACTTATTGTTATTGTAAATAAAGACTACTCCTTATCTTAGCTTCATCTGAAAGTTCGTGTGATTGAATATAATAATTGCCATAGAATTCTAGATATAGTATGCAAATTATTAAATATATTTGTGCTTACTTATATCTGGAATATTTCAAACTTTAATAACTTGGTGACAAACTGTTAAGATTTACCGCTTATTGGTCTTCAAATTTCTTTGGACTCTTTCCAATAAAATGAAAAGAATCATTCTCCTATTTGGAGATGAGATCTGCAGAAAGGGAAAAAGCAGGGCCAGCTAGGAAATGTTGAGTGCAGTAGTTCCCAACTGGTAGATGTGCTGCATCAGTGGGAGATGAGACCCTTGTGGGACTTCCATAGAGATGGGGGACATGCTTTCTGGGGTGCCCTGGCCAAAGTGTCTCCTGGGAGCAGACCCAGCAAAAGAGTCAGATGAGGCAGGGGTTGGTTGGGTGGAGGCTGAGCACTGTGGCAGAGGAGCAGCACTTGGGCCCTGGAAGGGGTGATGGGGAGCACTTGCCTTACCTGCAGTGGGAAGGAGCCTTGCTGCCCTCAGTGGGGGCTGGTTGTAATGAGCTGAGGAGCTGCTGCTTGAGAGGAGAGTTTCAGGTATATGAGCCTGAAGTGTATGAAAAGGATTGTTTCTGTGTTTTGTCTTTGGTTCAATTGGGCAGTCGCTTCCTTTGCTTGTGATGGTCCTGGAAGGTGATGGAAATCCTTGCAGGTGTCCGAGGCGGTGTGGACTTGGAGGTGAGCTCTGAACACCCCCTCACAAGCTTACCCTGGAATGTGTAATCTGGTAGCAGAACTTACAACTAAACGTAATTAAACCAACTCCAGACAATCAGAACAGCGATTCCACCTTTGAACTGTGCTCTCAGTTAAGAAAATCTTCTAGCTAATGTACTTGGTTGTTTCAGAAAGTGTTATGCTTTATGTAACTGAGGTGAGAGTAAACATGAGGGTGTCTCAGTCCAGCTGAGCCTGTGTGTGGAAGGGATTTAATAGGCTGCAAGGGGGGCTTTTCATGACGCGGTATGTGTGTGCAGGTGAGTTGCTGTGTTGGAGTTGTGTGTTGAGAAGAATGGGCAGAGGAGAAAAGGGCAGGTTTTGTAGCTGTCAGATTTTTAGATGGAGGAGGAGGTGATATATGGAGTAACTTCCTATCAATTAATATCTAGAAGGGTAGGAAGAAAAATGTATTAAGGACTTCATTTCTTTGATTGTTCCCTCCCTTTAGTTGAAGTGTTTTTCGGGGTGCAAGAACTCCAGAATTCCCAAGTGAGGTAGAAATTTCTGTGGACCCACGTGTGCCCCACTGGTTCATGACACAAAATGGAGATGGGGATGCTTTTGTGAGGGTGTGCTGCCTTTCATCCCTCCTGTGGGAGGCCCCACTCCTGGCAGTGAAGGACAAAGGAGCCTTGTTCTCTGGAGGCTCTATCGGAGTGTCCTCCTCAGGATGAAGAGGCATGGTTTGACTCGAGTAAAATTCTGTGAGAAAGCTTCTAGAAATACAGTTGTAAGTCCTTGAAAGGGCTCCCAAACAGTCCAAAGAGTATTGTGCAATTATGAGGAGGCTGGCTTGGTATATAGTGACTTCACGATCTTCACTGAGAAAGTGAGGTAGAAGCTATAGGACTGGGCATGTTACTAGAATGGTTGCATAGAAAATGGTATTGATAATAGTGTCTGGGGTTTTTTCCTCCTTATTTTACTGAGGGCTAGTTGAATCTCATGTGCTGAATCATATAGTAGAAATCACAATTACAAATATGATGTTTTCTTTTTTTTTAATTTTTCTGCTTTCACTTGTTTGCCACCTTATCATGCAACTTGAGGTACAGTACTCTTACAGAAGCAATATAACCATTGGAGTAAAGTTGTTTCTATTTAGCTGGAAAGGAGGGAGTTCCTGCCTGAAATTTGGGGGTGTGTTTACACAAACCCCAACTCCCCACACCTTCTATTACAGTTATGCTTGAGAAATAATTGCATGAAAACTTAGAATGAAAATGAAGCTTCCAACATGTGACCTGCTTTCTGTAAAATGCTCTCAGTTGTGTCAGGACAGAAGCATATGGTGTCTGGCATAGTTTTCTGTTTCTTGATTGGATTTATTTTGCGTAAATTTCATGTTCATTGTCATAACATGAAATTTATCAAAAACTATTTGTGAAGCCTGAGGTGGGATGCTGCTGTGTTTGAGACCTTGACCTTTCCTTGATTGAAAGGCATTGATGTGTTTGGGTTTGGTGGGGGGAATGGATAAGCTAGAGGGATTTAGAATATTTTAATACAAAATTAGATCTGGTCTTTGAGGACAGGGACAGTACTTCTCTGAAATGTTACGACTGCTACAAGTGTGGATTCTGTATTTATATCCATGAATATTGCAGTTTAGTGAGAACAGTTATGTTTAATTCTGCACAAAAGAGAAAAGAAGAGAAAAAGTTCCTACCTAGTCCAGAATTGCTGGTCTAGGCACCTTTTTTTTAATTTTTTCTGAAGCCATAAGTCCTGCATGAGGCGATGAGTGTGGTGTTGCTCTGGATGTCAGCATTACTTCTCCTGCAGGGATAAGAGCGCAGTGAAGTAGAACCACGGATGTTTTCATAGAATTCCTCAAAGGCATGGGAGGTGTGTGGACGTGGAGGGAGGAGGCATATGATTGCCACAAAATGTCATAAGTGGGCAATGGGAGTGGGTAAGATAAAGATGGAGTCTGACTTGGTTGTGAGCTAGTGATGATTGGTGAGGAGAGGAAGCAGTCAGGCATTTTGAAGATGAGGGCTTGTTGCTAGTGATGGATGGAATAGAGAAAAGAGAGGTGGACTTTGTGGGAATGGGTGAGAAGCTGTCATTATTTATGTGTCTGGAGGCCTCTACCATCAGAGAATTTCTAATAGGAAAATGTAGTGAAATCTTTAAACAGCTGTGGCATAGGTTGTAAATATCTCAGGAATCAGTAGTACTGGCATCTTTTTAGTGTATGATAGAATTGTGCTCTTTCATGCTGTAAAAGGAAACAAATATAACTTTACCTTTGCACCTTTTGAATGAAATTACTCCCAAAATAAGTGTAGTCTTCAACTGAGGATACAAGTTAATGTCCTGTTTTGCTTTGCAGTGCTGTGCAAGGGAAGAATTCATTTAGGTAAGCAGTTCAGGAGTCGTATGTGTTATTTTCAGATTATCTCAGACATGAGACTTTGTGTGGTGGCTCGTTAGTTATCTTTCAGAATTTGAAAATGTGGTTTTAGTTGGTACCAGTGCTGCTCTGTGCACATGCTCCAAAAATAACAAAAGTTGTGATGGCTCCAGAACACCTAAGAAGGTACCCTAGATTATGTGGCAAACATTG